GAGTTGGCATTTTAAGTCTGCCTTCTAAGACAATTCATTTCAAATGTTTTATATCTAATTGTATCATTGCTAAATTTGACTCCTGAAGCCATATTCACTTTGTGCATCACGCTTTGCTGCTCAGGAGCTGGACCAAAGATGAACTTGGCTTCTAACTCTGGACTTCTTGCCGCATTCTTATTCAGGTACAAAACAAGCAGTGCTGATCACGTGCTGATGAAGATAACAAGGAAGATAAGGTTCAGCGCTGAAGCCTCAAGACACCCTCAAACTTTGAGAGAGGATTCAAGAGCCCAGCAAATCTGAACCACTGCATCATATGATATTGCAATTGCCATGAATTGCAATTGCTATTGCTCACTAATCGTACAGCAATTTTGATGGCAGCTTTCTTTCAGAGAGGCAACACGGGTGACCAATCCTCCCTTAAGATTGTCTTCCTTTAAGAGGCCATAAAGGAACCTCCAGTTGGCCAAGTAAAAGACTGCACATCCTGAATTATTGCTCATGTGGACAATGATGGCTAGATTTAGCAGATGGAAATGAGAGCACCACTTTGTAAACTGAAAGTGAACTTATATCTTTTGATTTACACACACTTGTGAAAATAACTGCACCTCTCTGTGTGCTTTAGGCACTTTAAATACTTGAAAATTTCAAAACATTGAAAACCCAGAATTTAATGATAGTTATGTCAAACTGAATAACTAAGCAACCTTCTACCAGCAAACAGAATAACTCGTTTCCAATTTAAAATAAATAAACAAATAAAAAATCCAAAAGGGCCAAGTGCTTTTCCTCTGGTGCTAGAGGTATATTATATGTACATCACAACAGTTGAATTATTTTGGCCGCAGCAGAGAGGGGACAGCATATTCAAAAGACCTACTATCTTCAAAAACAATGCATTTTTAGATTTTATTTTTTATCTACTCTACTGGGGCATGAGTTGTACCAATCATTCTCTCTCTGCTAATGTAAAAAACAATCTTTCAGACGTGATTTTTCAGATTATCATCATTAATGGTTGTACAAGTCAATGCCAATACTTGAAAGCATCCCCCACAAGCAGAGAGCACAATCCAGGAAACACAAGCAGAATGTGTTCAAATTATGGTAATTCATTTAATACATATCGCACTACTACCACCCTCCAAGGATTTTCTGGACCTATATGCTCTAGCCTTGGAGCAACAACATCATGGAAAGCCATCTGTTGATCATGTTCAATTATAGAGTTGAAAAAAAGGGCTCCTTGCTAAGCACAGCTAGATGTTTTTAAAAACAACTGGCTACATGAATGCTTTCAGTGACCTCTCTTATTTTTTGAGCTGTCTAAGCATCTGACCAAATTCAAAAGGAGACACAGTGCTCTGAAGTCCTGGCCATTTTGGGAAGGAGGTCAGTATTTTCAGATCTGCCAAATCTCTTTATTGTTCACAAAGTTCTTACACCCCTTTGCTTTCTAAATTTATTTATTTTTATCTCCATAGTCTTGCCCCAAAGAAGCTACGTAGCACTTTCATTGTCCCCTGATGTGCTAAGACTCCCACGTAAGCTCTGAATTCAGTCTGTTTTCTCACCACTTTTTCATTATAATAGCAATAAAAACATTTTGTACATAAAAGGGGAAGCGAAAAGTTATAGTGCTAATGCATTCCAGTTGTTTGCTTTAGAGCAGGCTAAAAGAGTGGACGACATTTATTACCAAACAAATTTACTTCATCATAAATGCAATCCATTACGACAAGAATGGAAATACCATTACCCCTTTTAACATTATGCTAGGGCTTCTTTCTGTCTGCTAGGAAGTCTCATTATATGAGTCTCATAGTGCCAAGGACAGACCAGTCTTTTCCAGACACTTACCCTCTGACAGCATGAATAAGTCTCAGTGATGGATAGGCGGTTCGCACTTTCAATTTATTCTTAAGGATTAATGCATTAACCCACTCCACATGCTTCTCTCCGCCTTTGACCATGAAAGCAGGAATCCAAAGGACACTGTCATTCAGCATAGATAGTCTATGCACAAATTTTTCTCTGTCACTCTCATTCCGAAAGCCTCCAAACGCTCTTTGTACAACTGATGGGTTCATGGTAATAAAATCAGATTTAGCTCCCACATCTGCAGCAAACTCCACCACGGGAGCTAGATTGCACCTGAAGAGGAAGAAATTAATGGGAAAAAATGAAAATAAATATGAAACATTAAATCAGAAAAATGTATGCATGAAAGAAAAGCTGAAAAATGAACATGCAAGCCCATTTCATACTATGTGAGAAAAAAATACCAATGACAATAGGTGTGGTATCACAGAACATTTTATCTTACTTGGACGTTCGCAGGAAAAATTTTAAAAATTATTACATGTAAATAACTCTGTGAGAAAAACACTTTGCTGTACATTTGAAAATCATGTTTTTGTGCTTTAACAAATGCAATGCATCAATAGCTAGATAAGCACTTATAAGTGAGAGTCTGCCTTCTAACATCTATTATCTTTCATTAGGGCTCATTTGTCATCACCGTGTTACCATTTCCTGGGAACAGCTCACGTTCTTAAAGCCATGCCAGTCAAATAAGGTATAATTTATACAGCTTACTCATTGCTTTTTTTAATTGATTTTACGATACAGTATTTAAATTTGATTTACATACCACCTTAAGCCAATCTTAAATGTAATTTGGCATTTTAGATTATCCGTACATCTCAGTAGATGTTTTGACATTTAGTATCTTCATTCCATTTTGAAATTAAACTTCTGGGAAAACTATTCAATTTCTTCTTTTTTTCCTCACTTTTAAACCTTGTTTAATTGGCAGAAACATTGTGCAGTTTTCTAAGCTTGAGAAAAAAAGCCCTTTCAGGCTTTTTCACCAAAGTTTTTTTCTCAATTATATAAATAGACAAATATATATATATATTAAATCATACGTCAAGATAAAAGGATATAGTTATTTAAAATTCTAGTTTACACAACCTTTTTGCCATTAAGGAAACCTTTCCTAACATAACCATATATCCTACAGTTGGTAATACTGAAATTCTGTTCAGGAATATAAAATTTAAAATTGTAAATGTAAGATTTAAATTTTTTATAACAAATTTTCCAACTTCATTCAGCACAAATATGCACACATGGCATATTCAAACTATCACATAACCCAGGAATTTCTTGTTAACATTTTAAAAACAGACTTAAAAATCAACCAAACTCAGCATGTTACAGTTGCTTTGGAAAATACCCCTTTTAAAGACAATTTTTTTTAGATGGTGGCATCTATTGCTTAAATACAGGAGACAGGGGTTGGCATTGCAAACCCTGCCCTCCCTGCAACCTGTAAAGCACCTACTCATACAAATTATTGTGTTTAAAGAGCTGCATGCCATATGCAAGTGTGTATATACCATAGATCATATGGTTCTAACATGATTCTATATGTCTTTTGACAGCCCATTCTTGATCTGCATCAATGCCCGATACTTTTTTCAGTTTAAAAGTTTATGCATTTAGGAAGCAGCATCTAAAAGCAATTTCCTTAAGAACACAAGAAAGAATCATCACCGGCAAACTAAAAACAAGGACAGTTTACCTTGAGTATCATTACGATTTGATCAGTAATGTACTGAATATTGAAAGCTGCACTTGTAAAGGTTTACCACATAAGGCAGTAGATATTTTCAGCATGTGGCATTTTCAGATTTCTAAAGTATTATTTAAGAGTAACGAGCAATCCAAATGCCCTCAGTGACAATGGAGTTGTACATGAAGAGTTATTAAAAAGTTTCATCATATTTTGCACATTTTAATGCCACAAATTAAATGCCAGATTATAATATTATGGGCAGGAAGAGCATTTTCCTTTGCAAATGCTGAGCACCTCTTAGCATTTGATCCTTTAAAAACCCCAAGCATATAAATATGTATTCCTAGCAGTACTCAGGTTTGAAACAATGTATTGATAAAGCGCATTTGAAAGGCTCTGTTTTCAAAGAAACTAACTTTACGGTGGAGCACTTGCTATGTGACACATGGCTATAATAATACCCAGTTCTGTTACGGGCACAAACAATACTGTTTTAGTTGTAGTTAGCCAAGTTAAAAGAATAATTACCCTGGTTACAGTCACTTCTCGCTTTCCTAGAAGTTCCTTCCTTCAAGGATCGACTCCAACGCTCATTAAACCAACAATGTCCAAAATGACCTTTAACTTTATTCTTATCCCTAAGAAGTTGGCAAAAGCAACTGCTAAAATCTGCCAATTAAAGTTAGCACATTCTTCAGTAGGGGATAAACGGGCCAGTTATTTCTGAAGTGCTTGCCTATCCTTTAAGGCTGACCCACCCTAACACTTACCCTGCACTCCTAATAGTGGATTATGTTTTATTTTCAGAGGAGGGCTAGAAAGTTTTATATAAAAGTATCTTTCAGGGTATCCTCTCTTATTTTTGAAAGACATACAGATAATATAATGGCAAAGAGAGTAACAGAGTGATCAGTTATCGATACTGTCCGAAGCTTTCAGGAAAAAATAATAATGAGCACCTTCAGTAAGTTACACATATACAATTGCATTCAACATCTGCATGTATTTGTATAAGCTTGAATATCTTTGTTCAAACAGACCCGCTCTGGATCCTCAGCTCCATGGAAGAAGCTTTCTTCCCAGAATCGAGCACTGAGCTTATTAACAAACATATGCTAAAACTGCATGCATTCTTGTTATTATTTCATTTGTCTGTATATATCATGGACCTTCTGATGTTCTCCCCTAATCATAAACCAGCTCAAAGATTCATGATTCCATCATTTCTCAGAAAAATCCAGATTCTAACCCTTGTAGTGGTCATTTTCATGGAGATGTTACTTTTGTTCCCAGCTACTTACATCAGAAAACTAGCTATTGTATTTTTTGCATTTAACCTGAGTATGTGTAAATAGCTTTCGGTACCATGGTAAAAGCTTCATCATAATCTCTAATGCTTCTTCATGCTGTGCCATTGCTTCATAGAATCATAGAACCATTAGGTTTGGAAAAGGCCTTCAAGATCATCTGTTGCTGGAGCTGCAGTTTGAGCTGCAATTTGAGCAGGACAGACTTTACTCTAAGAACACACAAACGGGTTGGGAGGAACAGTTGCATATAGCTGTGAAGATGATTGACTTGGGCATGTTAGTAAATAGTTGTAAATATGAGCACTGAGAACAAACCATCAAGTTATATGAAGATTGTAAAATACTCTCTACTGAGCCCATACTATTGACTGTTTACAGAGGAACTAATGAAATATGGATTTCCCCAGCAAGATAAATTTTGCAAAGATTTTGTTTCTTTTTTTTCTTCTTTAAGAAAATCCATAAGTATATTCTTTAAATCTAAAATCTATTTTTTTTTTTTAATCAGAGGCTCAGTTCTTTTTCCCCCTCCTTGTTACAACAGTTAACAGATTCAGTTCTTACCCCCTCGCTACTCCCAAGCACTCTGTCTACAGCAGAAGTGGTCAGAAACTGCTCTCATGGTGCAAAACATTTGGTGAAGCTGGAGCAGACCGTTGGGACAAAGTCTAAATAAGTGGGTAGGTTCATAATCTATGTGACCAGGAGTTACCATGGGCGAGACTATGCTAACAATGTTACGTGCAGAGCACAGGCTGGTCTCCTTATCCAGCTCAAGGAGAAGTGCTGGCTCCAGAGGCAGTGAGATAAAGGCACTGCAAGAAGGACTTATACCCATGTGCTATCATGAAAACGAGCACCAAAACTAAGTAACTGCTATGTACAGCAAACAACTACTACATATGCAGTCAGAGCAGAAACTGAGCTCATGTTTGAAATATTGCCTGGCATCTGGATGTTTGCAGAGCACCTGAAATACCAGACCAAAACATCAGAGTGGCTAAAGGCATCAGCTCCTCCCAAATCTGTCCATGGTGTCTACTGACTGCAGTGGGATAAAATGGCTGGAAGTCTAAAGAAGGTCAATCAGACTAGGGCTGGAGTTGCAAGCCAGGAGAAAAACCAAAGTCAACAACCTGGCTTGGATATGAAGCTTTCATGGCCCTCCATATATATGCCATTTTTTATAGAGCAAAGCTCTCTGGAAAGTCAAGAAATCATGTTCTTCAAAGTATATTCAAATGGGAATCCACATACCTCACAGAGAGGCAGCTAGACTTGCCAGATTACTTGTAAATATACAACTCATGTATATGCACACACATGTTTAAGAGGAAATATATATGCGCCATACTTGGTCATCAACTTCAAGTTAATTTTAAATAAAGCAATAGAAACTTGCCCGAGTAAAAGTGATTACTCTGTTCCATTTTATTTAATATTAGGAACTGAAAAAATATTCTTCATGCAGTAACAATACAGAAATTGCCCTACAAATCTGTACACTTGTTAATCCTTTAGCAAGCTGTGTACTTGAGGGTTACCAGTTGAAATAAATGTTTGGAAACCAAGACAAAGCCCAGACCACATAAAAATGCCATAAAAGTGTATTCTTTTTCATTAATGTCTCCTTGTAGAGCAAAGCCAAAAATATCCATCACACAATATTGAACATATATGCTCTGAGAAACCAATAAACGAAGATTAGTTTGTTGCTGGAAGACTTAACGCTATTAAACGAATCTGAAAGTGAGGAACAAACATAACTAGTATCAGGTACATAAACTCTTGTCCTGAATAGCCTGCAGACTTAAGTTTAGATTCACATCCAGACTCCTGTAGGAATCAAAATCTGAACCATGATTTCCAATTTCCAAAAGATTTTTCCAAAGTATCTGGGTGGGGACCTGAAATTCTAGGCTTAAGCACAGAAGATATCTCTAGCTGGAGCAACCTCTATCCAGATTATAGACACCCTGTCCTTCAAATGAAGGTGTACAACAGCAGCATGACTATTTTCACGTTCATGTACCTCCATCCAAAATGGAGATCTGCTATGGGAAATGAACAAATTCCAGGAGGCATGAAAAAAAAAAAACTATGTATTCTAGAATGCTCTGTAAACTCCTTTGGCTCTGGGTAAAACAAGAATTGCTTCAATTTAACTACATGAGTGGGGATTAGTCCCCTGACATACTCCACTGTTAACAGCTCAAGAGAAAGTTTCTCGTGACAGCCATAAGCAGCATCCGCACTACAAG